CGGGCAGTGGGCAGGGGGCAGGCAGGGGGCAACGGGCAGGGAGCAGGCAGGGAGCAGGCAGGGAGTGGGCAGTGGGCAACAGGCAGAGGGCAGGCAGGGAGCAGGCAGCAGGCCAACAGGCAGAGAGCAGGCAGCAGGCAAGGGGCAGGGAGCAGGCAGGGGACGGGCAGTGGGCAGCAGGCAGCAGGCAGCGGGTGGGCAGCGGGTGGGCAGGGAGTGGGCAGTGGGCAACAGGCAGAGGGCAGGCAGCAGGCAACAGGCAGGGAGCAGGCAGCGGGCGGGCAGGGGGCAATGGGCAGGGAGCCGACAGCAGGCAACAGGCAGCAAGTAGCCAGGGAGCTGGCAGCAGACAACAGGCAGAGGGCAGGCAGGGAGTGGGCAGTGAGCAGGCAGGGAGAGGGCAACAGGCAATGTGCAGTGGGCAATGGGAAGGGTGGGCAGGGCATGGGGATCTGGCCGGCAGTGGGGAGCAGGAGCGCAGTCTCCGGCCACAGCCCTCACTCAGCCTGCCCCCGTGTAACCCCACCTGTGATGGGTGCAGAGCAGTGGCGTTGGCCACTGGGGGATTTAGCATCAAGTTCCCTCCTCATAGGCTCAGGAGAAGCTTGGCCTTGTCTGCGGCACAGATATCTGGCTGGCTCACTGTTGACCAGCAGCAATCAAATGGACAGTGTGTTTTCCCTGGCAGGAAGTTTCTGTCTAGTGAGGGAAACTCTCATGTCAGTCCTTTCCTGCTCTGGGTTGAGATCTCTGAGAAAGTTGCAAGTGTCACCCCAAAGCATGGCTGGAATTGCCCTCCACAGTCAGAGTAATTCAAATGGTGTTCAACTAAGCATGGCTGCTCTGGGTACAGGTGCTGCAATAGTTGTTGCCTTCTTTCAGCTTCCTTCCACCCCTTAGCTGCATTACAGTGGCAGCTTCATGAAAGGGCAGCTCTGAATCTGTCAGCCAATGTGACCCAGACCGCCTGGGCATTTCCCTTTCCATGTTGGCTACCGTCAGGATAGCACTACTTGCCCCACCTGGCTCCATCAAAACAGGCACTGGAGAGACGAAGACATGCTAGCAGAAGATCTTAGACTCAAACAAATGAATGTTCAAGGAAGCACATTTCTTCCACTTGCTGGTAACACCTCCCTGGATGCATGGCATGGAAAACCAGAGAGGGCAGAGGAGTCATGAAACAGCGCCCTCGGCTAGGCATGCCAAATGCTGAACTAATTGTTTGAAGAAGCCGAGGACCTGCCCTGACTGCCTAGGGAAGTGTCATAGGAAAGGGATGTGGGCACAATTCAGTTTGCTAGTTAGACTTCTGTATTTTATGTGAATGAAACAGCTCTCTGTAGTATCACCAAAACCAAAATACGTAAATAAAGTGTCTAAGCCATGCTAGACAACTAAAAGCTAGCTCTTGTCAAATCTGGATAGTTCTGAGATTGTAAGAATTCAGGATGATAAACATGAGAGGATTGAGAAGAGAGGTAACTACTGCCTGAGGAGCACTGAGGAGTTAGCAGGAGACAGGGTGGGTGGAAACTCTGCCAGAAGAAGTCAGTATCTTTCTGGAATCCATGACAGCTCTGACTCCAGTGGAGTCAGGAGCTTTAGTTCCCAGGTTCACCCTGTGAAGGGGTTTTGTGGGTCTTTCTTACTGATAAGGACTGAGAGTTTAATCAGAGGTTAGTGGGTTTGTTAAACCCTATTGTCTCTCTGCTAATTTTAATTTCTGGCATTTGTTGACTGTGTGAGTTTATGCCTGTGTGTAACGGTTTTGATCATATAATTTCCATGAGTATATCTGGTGCACTGATAATCATAATCAAGTTAACTGAAGAGACAAAATTCCCAGATAATATTTAGCTTGAAGCTCGCTGTATTCGTGTCAGATCTGATGAATGACTTTGTTGCATACTTCTCCCAAAGCAGTTGATTTAATAAAAGATATTGCTTCTTCCCACAAACGTTGCCTTAAATGACTGTAGCTACAACAATATTACTATTTGTGCCACCGGAAATACATCGTCCTCCTCCAGGATCATTAATCCGAATGTTTCAGTCACTGCAGCGGAGTACACTGTGGCTGTACATGTGAATGTACACGTACATTTGGCAACAGCCCAGCTAGCTCGGATACTGTTAGCAGTGGGGTCATGCTAACCCAGACTTCCAGAAACATGAACCCCTCAAGATCCGTAGGTGGGCTGCGTTGCAGAAGCTGAGCTCTTGTTGCCTTGGCTATGCTCCTATCGGCACAACGAGTCCTTTAGCTGGAAGTCAGTTCTGGTATTCTGCGTATTGCGAATCTGTAGAATGTAATATGTATTCTACATATTGTGAATGACGGCAGGGTAATCCTGCTCAGAGAAAAACCTCTGGAGTCTGTTTTTTGTTTACTATGAATGAAATCAATAGGAAAAATAAAAATCTTAAAACTTCACAAAGCTTATGTAGAAGCAAAATCCCCCCAAAAGTACAATCAAGACTTTAATGATAAAATGCATCTGCTTTAGAGTAGAAGTTACATGTTTTTTACTGCTAATACTTTCTGGGAGGGAACCTAAAGATCGATAGGTAGGAATGGAGTGAGAAGCTTGTGTAACAGAGTTATCTTTGGCTATAGGACAAATTGCAAATAGATTCCATAAAATAATTAAGGTGCAGAAGAAAAAGTTATACTGCAGCCTATCCTGACGTCAGTACACCAATAATGATGATATACTGAAGCTCTGAGGACAGAGTTGGGAGTTCATTACTTTAATCTGAGCGTTTTATTGTTTTACAATGTAGGACAGAGTGAGAGTGCAAAGCTCTCTCCCTGTTGAACTCTTGTTTTCCTTGGATTACCAGGAGTTTATGTTTAGCAGGTTTTCCAAACAAAATACCTCACTCTT